CCTCTCCTCCTCCCCCTCCTCCCTCCCTCCTCCCTCCTCCCCCTCCTCCCTGCGTTTCACCCACCCAGTACAGCGCTTCGTGGCCCCATAGGGGGCTCCACTGAAGGCTCCAGTGGCTACCCCGAGATCCGGGCGTTGCATTTTTTTCACACTGGGCGTCTTCGCCCAGTTTCCGGCTTCGAGGCCACCACAGATCAGCCCGCGTCGAACGATGCCGCAGAAAGACGCGGTCTAGGTCTTTGGTCGTGATGTTTGCGATGTTGTCGTTTTTGCCCACATCTTCTTGGAGGGTTCTTCAACACACACACACACATCATGTGACAAGTAGGGGGAGCCGGCGAAGTGGCGATGTCTGAGGGATCCCTTGGACATGTGTTAGCCCGTTGCGTATTCACTTCGTTCAGCTCCACCGATGGCGCGCCTTCTGTGTCGGCCCTCAGTAGTGAGTGTTTTGTATCCCCTGGCGATGGCGGGCGTGACGGCGCGGGAGAGGGGGGGAGGGGGCCGGTCACGTCACGATTCGTGCTGGCGCCGTCTTGGAAATGCTGAAGGATGGCTCATTCCCAGTGGGCACCGGTACGAATCGTGACGTGACCAAGGGGGGGGGGATGGGAGCCAGGGCCTGTCACAGGCGCGATCGCGAACGATAGCGAGAAGCGAGCTCTCCGTAATCAGCCGCTCTGGCTCGAGCATCCGCTGCCCCTGGGCCGCGGGCCCGTGCCCTTCGCCATGCAGCGGGGCGAGGGCGGCGACGCCCCCGGGGCGCCCGGCGGCATGGGCCCCGAAGCGCCCCAGGAGCAGAGCCTCATGGAGGCGCCGAGCCTTCTGGAGGCGTCGGCGTCCCAGGAGCTGTCCCTGGACGCGCCCCTGCTGCAGGAGCACTCCGGCAGCATCGGCTCGGGCGGGACGTCCGTGCTGATGAGCGCCGAGCTGAGGCGCTTCTCGGACTTCTACGGGGCCGCCGCCCAGATGGCGCCGTCGACGTCGGAGATGTCGGCGCCGCAGGTTCCGGGGCGGAGAAAAGGGGGGTGATGACTAGGGGGGGTCAAACGACGCGAAGATCGGGACAAAACCGGATCGGGATAACTCGAAATCTCTGAGACTCGGCGGGTTTGGAGGATGTATTGGGCGCTGCGGCCGCTCCAGAGCGTTCCGGAACGCTTTGAGAGCGCTCCGGAACGCTCTGGAGCGATTTATCCCGATCCTAGCCTTGTTTTAGGGGGGGGATATCATGGCGTGGGCCATGATATTTCCCCAGATCTCATGGCGCCTCGTCTTATCTTATTGCGTCCCTGGCCCCCCCCGCTGGGCCGCGCACGCGCCGCCGGTCATGATTTGCACCCCCCCCTCTTGGACACCCCCCTTCTTGGCCGCTCCCGACAGGTGCTGGTGGAGGCGCCCCGCGAGGGCCCCCAGCAGGCGCCGCGCGAGCGCCCCCAGCCCTCGGCGGGCCCGGCCAGCTCGCCCGCGGCGGCGGGCCCGGCGCCGTCGCTGGGGCGCCGCCGCGAGGCCGCCGCGGAGGCGGCGCGCGCCTCCGCGGGCGCCGCACCGCTCGGGAGGTTCGAGTAGGAGGGGAAAAAACACACAGACACACTGAATCGGCGAGTCCCATATAAAATATGGGAAAATATGGGAAGTGGGGGGGAAGGCAAAAGCCCAGAGAATGTGGGGAAATAGGGGGATGCTTTTTATTTGTGTGTGTTTGTTTGTGTGTGTCCCAGTTCCCCTTCAGGGCGGTCGAGAAGGGGATCGACTAGCGATTTATCCCGATCCTAGCCTTGTTTTAGGGGGGGGATATCATGGCGTGGGCCATGATATTTCCCCAGATCTCATGGCGCCTCGTCTTATCTTATTGCGTCCCTGGCCCCCCCCGCTGGGCCGCGCACGCGCCGCCGGTCATGATTTGCACCCCCCCCTCTTGGACACCCCCCTTCTTGGCCGCTCCCGACAGGTGCTGGTGGAGGCGCCCCGCGAGGGCCCCCAGCAGGCGCCGCGCGAGCGCCCCCAGCCCTCGGCGGGCCCGGCCAGCTCGCCCGCGGCGGCGGGCCCGGCGCCGTCGCTGGGGCGCCGCCGCGAGGCCGCCGCGGAGGCGGCGCGCGCCTCCGCGGGCGCCGCACCGCTCGGGAGGTTCGAGTAGGAGGGGAAAAAACACACAGACACACTGAATCGGCGAGTCCCATATAAAATATGGGAAAATATGGGAAGTGGGGGGGAAGGCAAAAGCCCAGAGAATGTGGGGAAATAGGGGGATGCTTTTTATTTGTGTGTGTTTGTTTGTGTGTGTCCCAGTTCCCCTTCAGGGCGGTCGAGAAGGGGATCGACTACAGAACTGATTTACCCCCGAAGTGATTTTCTCGTCAGATCCCTTGGAAATGCGTAGAACGTTCGTAAATCTACACACATCCTACGTGTGATTCGGCGAGGAAATCAATTTTGGGGCGAATCGATTCTGTAGACGATCACGTACTCCAGAGGTCGGTAGAGGCCAGCCCTTCCTTCCCGGGCGACGCCGCCGAGACCCTCGCCGAGCTGCGGGCGGAGTGCGCCATGCTGAGGCAGCGCGTGGAGCTGCTCGAGGCGGAGAACGGCGACCTCGCCGCGGCGGCGCGGGGCTGGAAGAAGTGGTACGCCAAGAACTACGTGCCGCTGGTGGAGTTCCTGGACGGCAAGCTCAGCCACCTGTGCGGGGGGCTCCTCGCGGGCTCGGCGAGCACGCTGCGGTCGCACAGCCCGCCGCCCGGCAGGCCGCCGAAAGTGCACCCGCCGCCCTGGTCCGGCGGCGGCCCGGCCAGGGCTTCGGGAGGAGCCAGCCAGCCGGGCGGTGGCCGCAGCCCGCTGGCCGCGGGGGCCCGACAGCCGCCGCACCACGACGCTCTGGGCAGGAGCACGTCGTTGGGCGGCAGCCGGAGCTGCACCGCGCTGCCGCACCTCGGCGCCACACGCTGAGGGAGCCGGCTCGGCAACGGCTATCTAGGTCTCGGCCTCGTGAGGGGCTTCTGCTGGCGGCACGGTTCCCTGCCGGGCCGCGGTGTTTCACGGGCGCCTCGTGATCAGCCGCATTGTTTCCAGCGCTCGGTCTTCTCACCGTTTGGCTGCGGCAGGCTACCCCTACCCAGCACACTAATGCCAGTGGGAGGGTTGGCACGAGTCCGCCCTGGTCGTATCACCAATTTCCTGCGCGCGGCTCGGCGCCCAGCTCCGCTCGGACCTTTCCGCGGACCCCTCGCCTGAGCGTGCGCGCGCGCCCTTGCTCAGACACTGCCTTCCTTGTGGACAGCAGCGCTGCGTCGTGATCAAAAATAACAAGAAGCGAGCTCTTACACCGCCTGCGTCTCAGTGAAGGGCTTCGGTGGACAAGCATACGTTGACGCTGACGCACGTTCTGAGGATCATCGAATTGCGTGTGGACCCAAGGCAAACCTCGGCTGGGTTGGGTTCGGCCTATCAGCAGGTGCGGGCGTCGGTGGTCGACGCACGCGGTGCGCAGGGTGCGTGAGGCCAAACAGCGGCGAGCAGGGGATGGTGTCGGGAACCGAGCTCGCACTGCATCGAGCTGTGGCGGGGGTCCGTGCACTGAAAGGACATCAGCTGCGTACGGGGCGAAGCGCTGGGAACCAACCAACGATGGCGGTGCACAGGCTAGTGGGGCAGCTAGCGGGGCTTGGTGTAACAGCCCGCGCTGGTGCGCACAAGGGGCCAGTGGGTTTGGGGCTCGCGCGGTGAAGTGGTGCTGGCGGCTCGCAGGGTAAGCGGGGCTCGCGTGGACCAGTTCGGGCTTGCGTCGGGAGCGGACTCGTGGGGCAAGACAGAGCAGGTAGGGGATAGCGTCAGGAATCGAATTGGCAGCGCTCCACCGACTCGTGGGACTGGCGGGGGCTAGTATGGGCAGTGTCGGGAACCGGCGTTGGTAGCGCATACCACTCGCTTGCGTGGGGCTAGCAGGGGGTAGCTGGCGCCAAGAACCGGAGGCAGCGACGCGGAGGACTCTTGGTGCCAGCGGGGGCAGCAGTGGCCAGCGTCGGGAGCCGACGTTGGCGCAAAATGGCTTGTGAGGCCGAGAGGGTGGGGCTGGCAGAGTCCTGCGGAGCCGGTTCTGTCGGAGCTCAGGGCTCGTGGGGCCGGTGCTGGCCAGGTCGGGCCAGCCCAAGCGACCGAAATCGGGGACCGACGCCAGCGGCGCGCGGGGCTCGAGGCCGCCTTCCTTCCATCCTCCTCCGCCCCCCTCCTCTTCGTCCAACCTCGGCGTCCTCCGCCTCCCCTCGCGTGAGATTGAGCTGGTGCTGACTCTGGCCACTCCCTGGTGAATCTGTGGCCAGGGCCGGGCTCCATGCGGACGCATGGGTACCAAGGGCGCCCTCGAGGGCGCGAAGCTATTCGCGCTTCGCGGTTCGGCTCCGATTCCTCCTCATCCTCCTCTTCTCCCCTGGGAGGCAGCGCGAGAGCGCGAAGTTATTCGCACTTCGCGCTTCGCGCAGAGCGGAGAGCGCGAAGTTGGGAGCCCTTGTATACGGTGGGGGCGTTGGGCAAGGGGTGTGCCCTGGAGGCGTCAGCCCCTGGAGGATTCCTTCTCGGACGAGGGCGGCGGCGACCCCCCTAGCCAATCCCCGATCGGAGGTCCACCGGCTTCCAGACCCTGGCTCCCTTGTCCAATGGATGCTCAGTGCTCTCACCGTATAAAAGGGTCCTCCATCTCCTCTCCCTCGGCTGCCATCGGCGCAGTGAGCCACACTCCTCCAAGCAGTGCCTGCACAAGTGGATGCTGCGTTCCTGTTGCACCGTCACTGGCCTGCGCTGCCAGGTTTTGTTCGCCCGGTCGCCTCGTGCCCGCCTCCGTGCGCTGGCTCGCGCTCCAGCGTGTCCACACAGCTTGCATCACACGGATCGCATGCCACAGCTGTCGCCGCACAGCCTGCACCAAGGAGCTTGCCCTCTTGGCCCGTCCAGAGGCCCTTGGGCCAGGGCAAGTCGTGCGACCAGGTGCCTGGAACCCCAGGGCAGCTGCGCCAAGCCCCAGGAGATGTGAGCATTTCGGGTACGGGCCCCTTCAAGACCCGAGCATTTTATTTGGGTGCAGGGCAAAGGGTGAAATCTGAAATGCCGTTTCGATGGATGTTCGAGGCTTGAACCTGCAAAAGGTGAAGCACAAGACGGGAGTGATGATCGAGGTGCAGAAGCCCATATGGATTTCACCCTGGGCCCTCCACCCTGAGAAAATGCTCAGAAGACTCGTCGGGACTGAGGAATGGTCCAGGGATCAGGCAGAGGACCCGAGGACACGCCCGCTCCGTGCCCAGAGGCACGGTGGCGGACGTTGCATCCCATAGGTTGCTCCGCGTACAGTGCCGTTTTTAATACATGCTCCGCGTGCGGATCATTTATTAAAAATGCAGGGATTTAGTATTCAAAACAACGATGAGAGTTCACGCATAAATATGTTCGTAAATTAGTCAAGGATTGAACATCCTATGTTTTTATAAACATATATATATATATTAAAAAATTGCCCTGTACGTTGCGTTTCAGTGACCGTCTCGCGCAGGCTGTGAACCCACCGCTTGCACCACACACACGGCCTGCAACACCCAATGCCGCACCACGGACCGCCGCCCACGGGCTGCACAACATTCAGGAGGGGAAAAACACACAGACACAATGAATCGTCGATCCCCCAGAAAATATGGGAAACTATGGGCAGTGGGGGGAAGACAAAAGCCCCGAAGCTATACGAAAATATGGGGGATATTTTTATTTGTGCGTATTTATGTGTGTGTGTGTGTGTCCCAGGGCCGCTTCAAACATTGAGTGCCGGTTCGGGATGGGAGGAGCCCGTGTGTGGGGCCCGCGCTGGCGAACACCAGCGCGAGTCTTGGGCCGCAGACGCAGCTGAATGCTGGCGCTCGGCGATCGCGCCCCTTGCGTCACCACTGCAAAGGGACGTCTGGGATCTCTGGCAACAAAAAGCCCCGGGAGGGACGGAGGTTGGGGAGGATAATAATGACGTTGTTGACGATGTAGATGTCGATGAGGATGAGGATGAGGATGACGATGACGACGACGATGACGATGATGATGATGATGATGATGATGATGATGATGATGATGATGATGATGATGATGATAACGATGATGACGATGATGATGACGATGATGATGATGATGACGATGATGGTGATGACGATGACGATGATGGTGATGGTGGTGGGGATGGTGATGATGGTGGGAATGGTAATGATGATGTTGATGAAGGTGATGTTGATGATGGTGATGGTGATGGTAGTGGTGATGATGGTGATGGTGATGATGGTGTTGCTGATGATGGTGATGGTGCTGATGATACGTAATGGTGACGCTGATGCTGATGGTGTTGGTGAAGGTGGTGATGATGATGATGATGATATGATTATGATAATCATGACGATGACGATTACCATGATTATGCTGACGATGGTGACGGTCATGGTGATGGTGATGGCTGTGATGGAGATGGTGATGGCGATGGCGATGGCGATGGCGATGGCGATGCTGACGCTGACGCTGATGCTGATGCTGCTACCGTTACCGTTACCTGGGCAACGACCGTTATCCGAAGTGATGTTCGAGTAACAATCTCAAGAGGTGCTCTGCGGGGGCGCCTCGCTGCAGGAGAGCAGCCACGCACCCCGCGGCCGCCACGACCCGCGCGCACGCCGCAGGGTGCGCCGCGGGAGGCCGCGCGGCCGGCCGTCGATGCGCCGCCGCTGTGGGCCCGCGTGGCCGCCTGCGCACGCGCGGTGCTGCTGTCGGCCGCGCCGTCGCTGCGCGGCCGCTGTGGGCCCACGCGGCCCTCTGCGCGCGCTGCTGCTGCTGCCGGCCGCGCCGTCGATGCGGGGGGGGGGTGGGCCGCCGAGCACCGCCGCACGCCGCTGCGCAGGACGCGTCCGGCCGCCGCCCGCCGCACGCGCCCTGCCGCCGTGGGCCGCGACGCAGCGCATGGGCATGGGACTTGGCGTCGCTCGGACGTGTGCATTTCTTCTCGGCGGGGATCATTGAGAAGCATCCTGGGTCATCCTCCCAAGCGCTCCCAGGCGCTCCCAAGCGCTCCCCAAGCGCTCCCAGGCGCTCCCAAGCGCTTCCAAGCGCTCCCAGGCGCCCCCGGGCGTTTCCACGCGCTTCCAGGCGCTCCCAGACGCTCCCGGCGCTGCGACACAACCACGCACGAAAGCAAAAACAACACGGGGAATGGACGTCCGAGCGATGGCCAGAGGGAGCTGGCACGCACCCCGGCCCACACGGCCCGCACGCACGCCGGCAGAGGTGTGCGGGAGGCCACGCCGCGGCCCGGTGCGCGGGCTGCCACCGTGGGAAGGCACCTGCCGCGAGGGATTTGGGGTGCAGCGGCCGGCAGGGAAGGGAAGCGGCCCGGGGAGGAAATCATGGGCAGCGTAAGGGGGGGGGGGCGTGCTCCAGGGGGGATGCATTGACCCCCTTTTCGCCTAGTGGTCGCCGGGGCCCGATGTCCCACGCCGCCCAGGAGCGTGCGGAGTCGCTATCGGGGGCCTGTCGCGATCTATCGGCCATGGATCGCCGATGACAGGTCGATGTGCTCCCCCTCTGAGCTAGTCTCCCCCCCCAAAGTTCCCCCTGAGGAAGTGAGGTCCTGGAGTTTGCTCGCCCGCTGTCGGGCTCCACGGGGCCCTGTCTGTCCGAAGGAGGGCGCCCGCCGTTAGTGGTGTTTACTCCACGGTCCTGCGCGTTTATTCAGCAGGTGCTCGAGCTTGCAGGGCGATGTCCGCCGTCAGCTCCACCCCCCTCAGCTTCGCAGCTGCTGTCTGAGCGGGCCGGCCGGCTTGCGCCTGTCTTAGCTAATTCGCCTCGTTCGCGCCCCGGACTTTGCTCTTGCCGCCTGACCCTTGTCTCGTGGCCGCGACCAAACAAAAAAAATACTCAGCAGCCGTGTCCTGTTGGACCCTGCAGCGTTTATTTAGCGCGCTTACGAAAGGGCCCAGAGCCGGCAAGAAGCGACTCGGGCTACTGAGTCGGTCACATGGAGTGCCCCTTTAACGGGCGAGGAACAGTTTCGAGTGATATGTTTCGCCGTGGGGGACGCCGTTCCCAGGGCGGCTGGAAAGTTTATACGTATCCTTACGGTGGCACGTCAGGGTATAAGCTTTCCAGCCGCCCTGGGACAGGCTCTCCCCAGAGACGGAAGAGTTTATTATATACAGTCTTTCGCCCGCTAGGCTCCAGGGCCTCGGGGAGTCCAAGGCCCGTTTTCGCCGGGCCACCTTTCCGTCGTGCCAGGTTGCACGTTGCAGCGA